TAAAATATTAATTTAATCCAAAGTCAACTCCTTGTAGCGTGGAAATATTGCTTGGATATAAGGTTACAAAACGGTGATCTATCATAAATTCTTAGTCGTTAGTTGCCGCGTGTATACATATAAGAATAGGAAAATTTTATAATACACAGTGAGTAACTAATGGCATATATATTAGCTTACTCTTTATATCTACTTTGAGGAGAGAGATAGACATATAAAAAAGAGAGAAATTAAATCTATACCCACTAAAAGTTATAAGAAGATTTCCACGTCCGCTCAAATTTTTTATTTTTCTCTCCTATTTTCTCTCTCTTTTTGTGTATCTATCTCTCTCCTTAAAGTGGACCCAAGGAGTAACTACTCGTACATGCCACTAATTACTCCTTGTGTATTATAAAATTTATCTATAAGAATAAATTATAAATCAATTGAATTAATTAATTTTTTATTTTAAAAATTAATTATTTAGTGCTGATTATGTTTAATTTAATATTAGTTTATTCTAAAAATATTTTTTTCAATCTTTTCATAATATCTATTCATGTTTTTTTAAACAATAAAAAATAAATTAAAAAACGAAATTGACAAAAAAAAAATTCAAACAATAAAGAATAATAATTTATTTTCAAAGCTAAAAAGAGCAATTTATAATTTAATTGAAATAGCAATAAAATACTAGTGAATGTGTGTGTTTCTATATATATATATATATATATACACATTAGCAATTCAATATGCGTTGACTTTTGTTGTAAATGCTCACGTTTTTTGGTGAAACTACTAATTGTGTATTACTATTGGCTGTGTCAAGAAACCTCCATTCTCGAACATTAAATGGAGTAAATTATAGGTTAGGCCCTTTTTTTAGAAACAAATTAATAATTCCTTATATTTTTAAAAATTATTTATTTATTTTTTTAATTAGTGTTGATCATGATTAATTTAATATTTTTTATTTTATAAAATATCTACTTTTCTCATCAATTTTTTTCATATTTTTACTTATTTTTTATTTTTTATTTCTTAAAAGAAAAAATTAAAATAATTTAAAAAAGCAAAAATGACTAAATAATTAATTTTTTTAAAAAAAGATAAACTTATTAATTCATTTGTCGAAGGAAGAGGAACTAATTTATAATTTACTCCAATTAAATGAGAGTTTTTTTTTTTTTCCCTGAGAGCACATTCAATGTGAGTTGACTTCAATAACATATTCATCATGTGAATGCACCAAATGTGAATACATTTTTTATTAATTTGTTGATTTCAAAATTCAAGAGGTATCTTTTTAAATATTGAAGAATAATGCTAAAGATGTGTAAGGGTTTTTTTTTTTTTTTTTAAACAGATGATATCATATTTAGCTTATAACTGAAGGCAATATCATAATAATTTTAAAAAAACTCTTGATGATAAAATCACATTTTATGATTTAGCAAAGATCAACAATATGAAAAAAACACATTGATTTTGTATTTAGCAATAGAGTTCAGTAAGAGAGATTGCAATCTCTAACATTGCTATTAAATCAAAGGTGTATCATGACGAGTAAAAAATGGTTAATCCTAATTATTTCTCAAAAAAAAAAAAAGATATTAATCCTAATATTAGTATCTATTTGGCATGGCAGTGATCGTAGAGTAAATTATAAATCAATCTCTTTAGTTTTGAAAAAGAAATTAATTAATACTTTTTAAAAAAATAGTTATTTAATTCTTTTTATCTATTTTATGTTCTTTTTTCAATTTATTATTTTAAAAAAATATAAAAAAGAAAAACAAATAGGTATTATGAAAAGATTGATATTCCAAAAATAAAAAAAATAAAAAAAATTAATTTTAAATTAAGCATAGTTAATATTGATTAAAAAATTAAATAAATAATTTTTAAAACAAAAAAATCTAATTTATTTATTTCTTAAAATTAAAAGGATTAATTTATAATTTACTCGGTGATCGTAAAGCCAAGACCACTACAACCTAGTACTTGTGCTTGTGGTGGTTGTGTAGTACTGTACCGAAGGTGCGGTGCCTTGATACTCTATCAAAATGCCAAACATAGCCTTAGTCAAGTTGCTTATCAAATGTTAATGACTTGCAGAGGTTGTCTCCATGTAACGACAAATGCTATCAACACTCTATTTACATTTTATTAAACATTTATTCAATAAAGATATTCTCGTCAAACTTTTTTAATTACCTCAAACATATAAGCAAAAAGTTAGCAATCAAAAGATAATTATTGTTTTATTCTTAAAAAAAAATTAAATTACAACCAATCTCATATAATTTAAAAAACTAAAATATTTATTTATTTATTATATAAAGTATCAGTGTAACGAATAAATATTCATTTATTGTAAAAATAAGCACCAAGTGTTTGCATTCAAAAAAAAAAATCTTAATTCTTGGTTTTAACTTAATGGTTTTTCAGAAAATTAAGGTTAAACAAATAAAAAATTGAGTATTTTAATTTTTTAAATAATATAAAATTAATTATAATTTAAAAACTTTCTAAGAACGTGAAGTATGAATTATTTTTAATTTTTTTTGCTTGGATGTTAAAAATAGTTAAAAAATATTTTTGACACAGGCACCCTTTATTAAGCAAATATTTAAAAGAAAACGTGTAAAAAAAATATTGCTAGCATTTCTCACTTTTAATAACATTTATGCGTTTGTCTTAATTATTTAAAATTATCTATATGTTAATGAATAACATAATTTATTCATCGTGACTCTACATTTGTAAAATTGGCTTAACTGGAGTTAATTAATAGTTAAATATCATGTAATTGCTCTATTAACTAAGTTTAATATAGACAACTAATTTCTATTATCATGAAAATTAAACCTATACACGTCACATGCATGCACATGAAAAAACAAAAAAAAAAACTCATTCTTACTCACGTGACTAATCGGTCCTTCTCTTTTTATTAAATTACGATAGTAGTCATCTTTATCGTAAATTTTAATTTTAATTTTTTTTCTCGAAAATAATTAGAAAATCGTTTCAAAATCTTGATCAAATCACTCCACAACTCAGACCCATATGATATTAAAAGAATTTTATAAAACTTACAGATATTTTAGCGATACAACTCAGTTCATATGGTATTATTCATCTGATATATGATGAGTTCAATTTTCATGCTATATGGGAATTATCTATGCATATTATTTTGAATTAAAGTTGTAATTACATAACAATTAATTACTTTTGACATCAATTAAATTAATTTTATAAACAAAAACTATTATTAAGCAAATTATTAACATAATAATAATTTTAAATGATTAAGGCAAACACGATGTCAAAATGATAATTTAGCAGATCTCCCTTGCTCATGTGTGCAGCTGTTTTTTGCCCCCCATTGGAGAACAAGTAACAAATATTTGTGAGTAAATTATAAATTAGTCCATCAAGTTAGAACAAAGAATTAATTTAAAAAAAAACTAATTATTTAGTTTTTTGTCTTTTTTAATTTGTTTTTGAAAAGAATAGATAATTAAATAAATATTATAAAAAATTGATAAATAAAATATTTTTTAAATAAAATAATTTTAAATTAAATGTAATCAACCTGATAAAAAAACTAAATAATTAACTTTTCAAATAAAGAGAACTAAGTAATCTATTTACAAATTTTATCTAGCTGCATCAAATTAGATTTGAAAACCGAAATTTCCATTGATGTCCAAGGACTATAGATGAAACTTATTTATTTATTATTCTTCTTATTTTCTGATAAGTTAATATACATTGGTGGTTCATTTTTAGTAAACAAATATTAATTTAGCCACCTTTCATATGGAGTGTAACAAATGGAATTCTCCAATAAAAAAAGAAGAATAAAAATATGATAAGTTAATATACATTGGTGGTTCTATTTTTTTTTTTTTAATGCAGAAGAAGAATAAAAAGATTTAAAACCTATTTAAAAGATTTGATTTTAAACAGAAAAGATTCTAATCGTTTAAACAAGTATTTTTATTTAAAAATTTTTATGTACGACAAAAAAAACTTTTTAAACAATTGTATTCATCTTGTATACTCGATCCAATAATAAATTATTAGTCTAGATATTACCTGAAATATTCAAAGGATTTTTTTTAAAAAAAAAAAAACTAAAGTCTCATAAAAGCAATCCAATAGGACATAGCAGTCAGGTAGCATCAAATTTCTATTAGGCTAAGGATGGTCTAGCAGAAGCAAATCAACTTCAGTTTGATGAGATCGTAGCTTCCTCATAAAATCCTTACATTGATTTCCTTCTCCCAGATAATCAATGGAAAATTCTCCAACTCCTATTCATAAGGTTTTTTATATCACAAACGAAATGCCAATAAAGATGTCATTCATACCTAATTCTTTAATTTAACATTAATATCTTCTTTTATTTTGTTTTTTTAATTCGTTGGCAGGTTTATGAATTTTAAATTATAGATTTGCAATAACTATTTTTCATTATATAATCATTAAATAAACTAAAATTATTAAAATTCAAACCTATTTTACTAGAAAAATTATGGAATACACAAACACTATACCATACTTGTTATATAATTTAATAAGTTTTTTAGAATCTAACTTCACTAGAATATTTTGAAAATTTATAATCCATTCACCCAGTTAAGAATCCTATAATGAAACATAAATCTTACTTTTAATTTCAAAAGCACATCGATTCATGATCATATCAACTTCTTTATTTCAGAAATTAACCGGACCAAGAGTAGCCCAACCCATTAGAAATAAGAAACCTTAGGTCACCAAGTCAGAAAAAAAAAAAAAAAAAAGCCCAAACCAAAACAAAAACCCTAGCACCTTCCAACTAGGGTTTAAGAAGCAAACCTTTGTCCCAAACAGAGCAGAAACACCCAATTTTCACACGAAAAAGGAAAACTTTATATAGGATCTCAATAGATTTGCCTCAGTTTCAGTTATGAAATTTCACCGCAACATAAACTCTTGTCTCCAAAAATCCAAACTTCAAAATGGTGGGTTTTGTATCTGAACCCTCCACCATTAAAGAAGAAGAAAACAACCAAGTTTCAAAAGCTAGAAACTTTAGAAACCCAGTTGACTCTTTTGATCTAAAGCTCACAAATTTTGCTGATTCTTTTCTCGACTTTGATTCTATAGAGGAGTTTTTTGAGAACCCTGAGAAGGTTAGTTTAGATTTTGAGAAGGTTAGTTTAGATTTTGAGAAGAGAATGGAGGTGGAGGATAAAGGTTTTGTTGTTAAGGACCTAGTTGTTAATGGGTCTGATTCAGTTTTCGAAGAGAAGAAGGGAATTGTTGATGGGTCTGATTTGGAGGGTATAGTGAAAGTGAAGGAAGAAAGAGTGGAGCTTGAGAGAGAAGTTTTGGGGTGTTCTATTGAGGAGGAGATGGGAAGGGTTAGTTTGGTTGCCGGGTCGAGTATAGTTGCTGCTGATGCGGTTGAAAAAGTGGTGGGTGATGAGGCTGAGATAGGTAATGGTGATTTGATAAATGGGTTAGGTTCGGATATTGGTAATGGAAGTGGTGTCAATGGTAAAGTAGTGAATGCTGAGGATGATCGTGAAAGCGAAAGCGATTCTGAATCGGAGAGTGAAAGTAGTTCATCGTCTAGTAGTAGTAGTAGTGATGATGATGATGATGAAGAGGAGAGCGATGAGGAGGAGGAGGAGGAGGAGATGGAAGTTAGAATGGAAGTAAAGAAAGAGTTACATGGTTTGGGTGACATGGAAGAAGGTGAGATAAGGGATGTTGATGAAGAGGAAATGGTTGGTGGGAATGATAGTGATGTGGAAGTGTTTGAGAATGAAGAGGAGGAGCAAGAAGATGGATACAAGATGGTTGAGTGGAGCGGTGCTGAAGAAGATGAGGAGGATGCTGTTAGGGGAGTGCCAGTTGTATCGGAGAACGAGCTTAAGGTAAATTCTTGCTGCTTTTGATGCTATCCTATGTGTGAATTAATTTTTGCTTATTGTACGTTGTTTAATGTCCGAGGCATTGCAATTATTAGTTCTTGCATCTTAAAGGTCATTGATCATGTCAGTGTGATTTTATGGAGTTAAATATAGAAATGCAAGTTGTTTTTATACTCTACTTTTGTCCCGGCAAATAAATGTGAGGGCAATTTATAGTGTTCTATGACACAATCTGGAAATGTACTTTTTCTTCATTTTCCAGAAGATGAAGGTTTAACAGCTTAACATGAATACTGTTAGAAAACGAAATTGCACTTATGGTTACTGGAGTGCGGCCAATTTGCTTAAGGTTTATGTAAGAATAAATCTATATGCAAAAAAAATTAATAATTCATTAACTACTAAAAATTCCTTGTTCTTTCTCTGTTTGATAGAGTCATTGATTTTTATGGTTCTACATTAAAAGGTTTATTGCTTTGAATTATGATAATTCAATTTACTATTATTGTTAGTTTTAACATAGGAATTTTTTGACTTGGCTCCTCTGTTTGTGATTTTCAATGGATCTGGAATAAGGATATAGTGTCATACCCATTGATGACAAATATACATAGCATTAGTTCTCCTCCTTTATATTCCTGAATAAGGTAGCAGTTCAAAATACGATCCAGTGGCTCCTATCAGGCTGTTTCGTGTTTTGTTTTTATGTCATATTGCTAATCAAATAAACTGTACCAAATCTGCAGTTACTCCCTCCAGTTCCTCCAGTGGATGCTTCCTTGGAACCGCATCATCAGATGCTGCCTGTTGGAGTTGTTTTGTCGGTAAGCCCATAGGAAGCTAAGTGCAGAAAGTTTTCATTGAAAATATAGATGTCTTAAATATAACACAAGTTTATGTAAATCACACAGATATGTTTGCTTTCCCTATCAATTTAAGCTCTAGGTTGACTTTAGATTGGTAATAGCTTTATCAGTGAATCTTGTATTCTATATTTTCCAGGCTATAGGTTCCCAGGTTATAGTAGAAGGGGCGGAAAAGCACAATCCTTTGAATGAGGGTTCTATCCTGTGGATATCTGAAAAGAGATCCCCATTGGGGTTGGTAGATGAGATTTTTGGACCTGTCAAAAACCCATACTATGTGGTGAGATACAATTCAGAAAGTGAAGTCCCTGCTGGGATCCATAATGGTACTTTGATATCTTTTGTTCCTGAGTTTGCCAATCATGTGCTTAATGACAAGAATCTTTACAAGAAAGGGTATGATGCATCTGGTGAAAACGATGAAGAGCAAACTGACGAGGCAGAATTTTCAGATGATGAGAAAGAGGCAGAGTACAAGAGGAAGTTAAAAATGTCGAAGAGGGGAATAAATGAGGAGACAGGTGGAAAAAAGAAAAGCAATAGAAGGAAGGGGAAAAATAGGGAGGCTGGTTGGCAGAATAATAAACCTTCAGGGGAGCAAATACCAAATGGTGTAGATCAGCTACAACCTGATCAAAATTTGCTCAATAAATCTGCTGTTGGAATGTCATTTGCCCCGGTGCCGCAGCCAACTGGTGTTTTTGCACCTTCAAATGGTGTTTGGCAGAATGTGGTACCTTCTCAGCAGCCACAGACTTTAGCAATTCCTGGTGGTTTTCCAACAAATAATATGCCTTGGCCTGCACAGAGTCAACTTCAGCATCCCTATCAGATGCCTATGCCATTTCAGCAACAGTTCAATCCTGGTCAGGGACCATTTCCTAATGCTTTGTTACCAGGCGGACAACCAAATTTCTTTGCTGGACCTGCATATCCTCAACCTTGGCCTGCGATTGGAGGACAAAACTACTTTAACCAAGCTGCATTTGGAAAAGGATTTCAGTTTCAACTGAATCCCCCATCACACCAAGGAATGACGCCCAGTGGACCGCCTTTAGGACAGAACAGTAGTTTCCAACCACCAGCCATCCCTCCTGGCAACATTCGGGCTCCTCAGCAATTCAACGCAGGAGCCTCTTCCACTCATGGAAGGAAACCTTACCGTAGAGGGGGTGGTCGGTTTTCAGGTGGGAGAGGTAGGCAGCCTTGAAACTGACTTTTGTCAAGTTTACCGCTGTATTGTAACGTATTGAGCTGTAACTTGAAATACGCTATGAGTGGACCTGCAGTGCATTGCAGAGTTGCCTCCTTTGTGTAAATTATTTAAGGTTGATGTCTGCATTAAAGAAAAAATTTGCTACATTGCTTGTCTGGTGCTGGATTTACAGTATCTCTCCCATTCTTTGGTTCTTTATTATAGTGCTATTTAAAGAATTTGTTCTTTATTATAGCCATCCCTTTTCTTTAATTCTTTATTATTGGTTGTCTGAGTCAGGATTGTATTTTGTTGGCTAGGAGATACTGTCTTCGAATCTTAATCCGTGCAATTTGGTGTGCACGCCAGATGCTCATTGGGAGTGGTGCTTTTCGTTGTCTTCTTTTGCAATTATTGGTTGTGTAAGTCAACAACACAAATGCCTTATCCCACTTATTTAAGCTCTCTCTGTTTTTCCAGCTAACCAAACCATTCAGCTCCACCTTCTCATACTGTAAGCTTTTGGCATTTCATAATTCACAGGATGTGTGCTTTGAAATCTAGTTTTGGAACATTATTAGGATGTGAATCAAACAAAAGAAGAAAATTAAAAAAAAAAAAAATTTTACGAGATTCGATAATAGTATTTACTTTATCATTATATTAGGATTTCTTTATTCAAGTGGAGACTATAAATACAAGTGATATTCTCTTCATTTATAGTTTAGATAATTAGGATTATAAGAAAAAATGTCTAACGAGCTTATATATTTTGTCTAATACTTTGTAAATCTTTTGGAGGCTTTACTATCGAATTCCTATAATGAGCGCTATCCTCTTGCTCCTGGCTTGCTAATCGACTAACGAGACCGCTTTACGAGACCGCTTTACTAGATCTGTATAGCTTCTTATACTGCATGTCTTATTCACATTAGTCTCCACAAATATGAAATGCCTTATCCTACTTATTTAAGCTTTCTCTCTGTTTTTCCAGCTAATCAAGCCATACAGCTCCACCTTACACTGTAAGCTTTCGGCATTTCACAATTCATAAGATAGGGGTGCTTTGAAATCTGGTTTTGGGAACATTTCATATAGCCCTTTGCCTTGGGCTCTATGCTTGTTCTTCCAAGGGCCTAAAACCATCAGCAACTTTTCTTTTAATGTCAATACCAGCCCTCATCCTTATCTTACTTTCTAGCATGGAATTTGAAACTTGCGTAAGTATAGACATGTTCCAGAGTTTATCTCGATAAATTCAACCACACTTTCAAATATAATTTCCTCCAAAATCTAATCAAATTTGGAGAAACTTAACCATTTTAAACCACTCCAGTTCAGCCATCTCAACTTTCAGCTCAGTTGTCACAGAATCATTTCTTTCAGTGGCCAGGCTTGAACTTATGCCAGCTTTTCTAAAAATCAAGAATTGATGCCGGAAACGAGACAAGGAAAAAGAAGGTATAGGTAGATATAAACATGCAAAATAAAAAATAAATGAGATAAATTACTAAATTTCGAAGTTCTATACCAGCCAATGAGAACAATCAATGCGTAACTCAGAGACCGGAATTTCAAGTTCAACATATAAGAGAATGTTACTCGAGGCTTTTCTCTTAACTGTGGGGGAGAGGGGATTAAATAAAGCAATAATGCCATGGAAAGGCACCAAATAAAGGGGGGATATCAGGACCGCTAAAGCATCGTTGGTTTGAACTCATTCTTTTGCATTCCTAGTGAAGTCAGTGCAAGTCTGGCAGCTGCAATCTGAGAAACGACAGATTTCACAACCAAAGCACACACAGGAAGTGCAGCCTTTGCATGTTGGAGAACGGGTGCAACCTCTGTATACCCTTCGACTTGCACGTTCTTCATCATCATCGCATGTTATTCTGAAATAAGAAAAAAAAAAAAGTAATTTGGATAATTCATTACCAAACTTGGCAATGTGGTTGAAACACATGGAACATCACAACAATGTTAAACTTCTCCTTTCAAACTGTGCATCCATGCTAGACCACTTTGCTGGGCACCAGCTGAACTATTAGAAACAATCTAGTTAAATTTCTACATTGACGAACTTTAGTAATGTATCAAAGTAGATAACTGCAAGAAATTTCACGACCCAGACTTCCAGATATAAAGAAACACGCTCAAAAAAGGGGAAAAAAAGATGGAAAAAATACAGCCCATGAAAAAACACAAGTGCATTTGCTTCTTCAACAGACATGAATGAAGAAAGTTCTGAAGATAGTATTTGGGTAAAGCAATACTAGAAATGATCAAAACAAAAGCTGGAGTCCTTCAATTTCATTGCACAAAGTTACACTGATATAAGCAGACTGGTATTTAGGAAATAGAATATTTTTTAAAATTCTACCATATTCCGAGTTTCCTTTATATTCCTCTATGGAAATGCTCCAAAACAGAGGTGCAAAGGTGTAGGAAAAAGGTAGGATGATATCTATGGTTCAATGAACATCATAGAGGATAAGGAATTTTTTTTTTTAAATTCAGAAATTAAAATATGCATCAACCACATGGGAACATTACTTCTTAACTTCTAAACTTTACAAATACCATCCATATTAAGCACAATTACATCCGGTCCTCTTTTTTCAACATCCTAATAAAAGGTGCTTAATTCGTAAGAAGGCCTAAAGGAAACTTGAAAGTTTTAATTCTTGCAACGATTTGATGAGCCAAATTTAAAGAAACTTTGCAACTACAATCATCACAGAGGGAATAAGATCTGACAGGTAAAAACACACTTTATAACACAGAGCAAATAAAAAATGCTTTGTAAAAAGAACACTCGGTGAAAAAAATGTGCTGCAAAAGAAAAAATACATGAAGCCCATCCATTCTAATAAAACCTGAAATCCTTCTACATCGTATAGCTCACCCCTTTATTTATGATATCTCCAGCAAGGATACTTAATTTCTTCAATCCTCTAAATGTGCTTTAGCTCTCTGTGATACCTCTTAATGAGATTAGTCTATCAATAATGATAATTTGTTTGACCAGACACCGTGGCCCAATCATGTACTGCTGAATGTCTGATTGAAGGTATCCATCATGATCTAAATCTAGCTTCTATGGAGACTTTTACTTGTGATCACGAAAGTGGTCATATAAGCCTGAAGTTGCATTATATAATACAAGCTTTTGTTTCCAAAGCATGCGCATACTTCTATCACCTAAATCAAGCCATATTCCATCCTACATCATCAATGTCCATCTGAGCTAATAATTCATGCTATTAGCAATGATAAAGCACTAAATTCTATGCAAGAAACCACAAATCATACAACAGAAGTAGAGACACAAACAAGACAGTACAAAAAATGAAGTTCAAATGAATAAAACCAAGATATTATCCATTGGATTCATGGCCTGCAATTGCCCTCTAAAGAGTGTTCAACCCCACAAGAAACTGTACCAACTGAGAACAAGAATGAACCAATGCCTATTTTATTAAAAAACTGCAAATATATCAAAATCTCCACCATACATGCATGAAATGCATGGTCAGAAACTAGCTCCAAATGTAAAAAGAAACAGATTTTAGAATCATCGTCCAAAATGGCTAACGACCACCTAAAACTTCATGAAGATCAAAGTAAAGCCAACCACCAACAATAACTGATTGTATATTCGTTTGATGCAAGAGGAAACTTACTTGTCAAATGGCATATCAGCACATTTCCAGTTCACATCAGCCAAAGCATCATGGTGAATCCGACACTCCTCTTTGGTCCGTAATCGGAACCTGCGTTCCTTGTTACATTTATTACAGCAAACAAACTCATCACGGTGACAAGCTCGTCCATTGTGTGCCCTGTGGGATCCGTTCCCATTTTTTGAGGCCTGATTGTAGTATTTGAGCAACACTGTCTTTGCCAATGGAACCTTCTCCCCGTTAACTATGACCCAGACATTGTTCTTCCATTTTCTAGCTGTCTCCCTTCCAGAATGCTTCTCAAATGCAGCAGGAGTCATCTTATCTGGCATCGAGATAGTCATTCAAACAATTAAAGAAAGGACTTGATATTACCAGGAAATAAAGCAATCAAAAATCTAAACAAAGATTAAATTAAAGACACAAAAATGAAAGGGGTCATACTTAAATACAAAAAAGAACCATGATCACATGCAGAGAACAAATGAAAGCTCCGTAAAGTCAAGTCAAAGAGAAAAAGACATTACACGGGGAAAATACTCAAAATGCAATCCATTGTAAAATTTAGGGGCACCAACTGCCATTTTTCAGAATTATTACTAAGTTATCAAGTGATTGAGACATTAAATATAAGCCTCACTGGATTATTGTGCCAAACTATATACCACATTCTTCTGCAGGAGGCACGGAATGGCCAATTGAGCACAGAAAAGCAGCTGCATAAACTTGGCCCTAAAAGTTACCAAGTCCCGCTGTAGGTAGTTTTGCTAGTTAGAAATGAAGATAATCAGTGTGACAGGTTTCTCCTTTCAGTGAAAGGACCACTGGAGTTATTCTTACGAACAGAACACACTCCCCTTCATATGAACCTAAACTCTCTTTTAAAGGTTAGAAAATGCCCTTCCTGCAATCAAAACAAATTTTACTATCAAGCCTTGCAAGACTCCGGTCCACAACAGATGTTGAAACCTCCACTCCACTCATACCATCCCAAGGCCTTGACTTTCCAAGATAATATCAATTCTTCAATCAACTCTGAGGAGTTGCAGGCACAAGGTTAGACAAGCCTTCCAGTTGCACTGTTGCAACAACAAAAAATGTACAGCGATACGAAAAAAGATAGATACCGAGTTGTCAGAAGATGTATCCTAACTTAGCACTACGTAACCAGAAGCACATGCACACAAAAGACCACATCCAACTTAAGCATCAGTGTGCATGATAGCCCTTCAGAAGTCGACTTCCTAGTTTGATCCCAGCCAGCAGCCATCCTTGTACAAAACCATAGTTCTCTTCATATAGTCAACCTTGAATTTGCTCATAATATAAGCAATAACAGTAAAGGGTAGAGAGCTATAAAGATAGCGTAGCCAGAGAGGGTACTACAAAGTCCATAAAAGAGTGTCATGTGATGCTACACAAAGGCTTACTCTGTCCAACAGGAAGAGCTGAATTCTAGTATCAAAAAACCAAATTTAGAATGTCAAAGTCAGCCATTGCAATCAAAACAACAAAAGCAATGCAGCTCTCATTGTAAAAAAGACCACTCAAAGACCAGTTGTTGAATCGAAACACAAGTTTTAGACCAATCTGAAACAGAAAGCATCGACTTAGAGAAGTCCACAGACAAAACTGCATTGTCTAGTTGAGCACTGGCATGCACAACTCACTCTCTCAGACAAAAGAACATACACTTAGAGACTGTAATACTAACACAAAACAAAATTTAAACCAAACAACTGCCAAAGAATCTTTAACACTTTTGATTAAAGAAGAGACAGTGACATCCAACAACGTAAAAACACACACACATAAGACCTATTCAACATGCATAAAAACAAACCCCATCTCTTTAAAACCCTCAAAAAATAGTTTAGAAACAAAGACCAAGACTTGTTGAAGAAAGGAGACCTTCATCGCAACCAGGAGTGCATTCACATGTGATTTCAAGTTCACCATTGATAAAAACCCTAAGCCTACCAACAGCATCACCATATCGATGGCTAGTACACCCACACGTCACTTCTATATAATCTCCACCTCTCTTGACCCCACTCATCTCTCTCAACTCTTCTTCACTAAACAACACCCCCATCTCTTTCTCAACCCCATTTGCCATTTTGCTCCCCCTCTCAAAAACTCTCCCTCTCCTCTTCCTCTCAAAAAAACAACGAAACCCAGATGCCAAAATAAGATCTTTAAGCCAAAAGCACCAAAGAAACCTAAAAAAAGGTATATGATTTTGAGTTATGGGTATTGAGCAATATCAAAACCCCAGATAACCACAAGGGTGAAAAGGCCAAAAAAGAAAGTCTCAAACTTTCTCAAGAAACACGCATCTCCAAGAGATCTGGTGGAGAAAACGTTGAAAGTGTCATCGGATAAATAGAGAGGAGCGGGGGTTGGTGTTTTTTTTTGGAGAGATAGATAGAGAGTGATAGAAAGAGAGAGAATGAGCTGGCTAATAAGAGAAGCAAATGTCGTGGGGTGTGTGTGTGAGAGAGAGAGAGAAAGGCAAGGTTAAAAAGCCCTTTTTATGTGCTAGAAAGAGTGCTATTTGCTATTGCTATACTTGCTTGCTGCATGACATGACACGAGAGAAGACAATAAATACTTAAATATATACACACACAACAGCATTAGAGAGAGAAAGTTCTAGAGAGAGAAAGACTGCAAGAGCGAGAAAGAAGAGAGAAGAAGGGGGTTTTGGCCTTTTGGGTTTAGCCAGGAGAAACGGTGGGGTTTATTGGTATATGTATGTACAGAACTACGGGAGAAAACGAGGTTTATTTACTAGGCATCTTTGAGGAAGATCCAGTTCGTGTTGAACAGAGTTCACTCTTCAGTCTTTCTTATGTTGTTTTCTTTTTCTTCCCCTTCGGACACCATAATTTATAAGTTAATCGAGACTAAATTTAATTTTTGAATTCATGTATACATTTTTATATCGATTTGGTGTATTGGAAAAAATAAATTTTATACCTTTCATGAGTGATTTGCTGTTTACTATGTTGTTTGCTGTACTATGTATTTTGTTTCTTGATTGGAGTGGCGGTTTTGGTTTACAGAGAGGGTTTCTTTTGGTTTTACTGTTTTACTACGTAGTTGTATTTTTGTGTCGAGAAACTTGTGGGAAGAGTAAATGGAGTACGAGGGGGTCGGAGAAGGTGACACATGTGTTGACCTACCCTATATAATGGTAGATGGAAAGAGCTCAAGGTGATCATATGATGGTCATGGTAACAAAACAATGGAGCCATGTAGTTGAGCAAAAATCTAGACCTTTTCAAGCTCATTACGCATGTTAGCTAGGTTTGAGTTCTTCGAATAGTCAAAGAAATTGTCTAAAGGTCTCTAATTTTTAGTTTATCTCTTTTTTTTTAACCAAAAAAAAAAAAAAAAAACTTGGGTTCCTCCTTTGAATGCACAAGGAAAAAAAAACAAAAAAAATAGAGAGATAAGATTAAAAAATAAGTAAATTTACATGTGTTGTAATTCCGTAAAAATAACGGTGTGATTTAACATTATTAATAAAAAATTATCGAAATAACGAACTTAAAACATAAAAAACAAAATGAGTGACGTGATCGAGATAAAAAAAATATAGAAACCTTTACAATCATTAATCGATAAATCTTTGCATAGATATGATTGTTGAGTAACTAATAATTTTTTACAAAATTAGTTGACATTGCAACTACAAACTATCCACCAACCCCTCTCCTATCTTCTTGATCTCGAGAGAAGGAAGGAGGGTCAATATTATTATTATGTGAAGACACAAATATGATGATGGTGTAGCCATGTTAGCAATGAATTTGTGCAATTAGAACTAACAAAACAACAACATAGTAGTTAGTAGTTTTGAGGTTTGACAATGTTGGCCATGACGACTAAACATGTGTTTTTTTTTTTTTTCACTCAATAGGTTGCTATATGGTTTAAAGGTTGTGATGAATTCGTAGAATTTCTTGCGTGGACTATAACTATGGTGGAGATTTTAGTGGAAATGTGAATTGCAAGACCAACTAGAGCCTCCTTGACTGGCCACGAGATTGTGTTCATGAATTTATTTTGCCGTGATCAAAAGGAAACCTCCGATACTATAATGCGTTCAAATTACCGTAACAAGCATCCTTTTCCACTTGTTTTCTGTAGAAAATTGATGAAAAGGATTAGTTGTTTTGGTTTGTAGAGGATGAGGATTATTTAAAAATTAAAATCGAACTACAAAGTGATATCCAAGTTAATATATATGCTTTTTTTCAGTATTGGAGGCTATAAAAAATTATTTTCTTCTGATTACATTAGTTAAAAACATACATGACTTCTTTAAAACTCGATCAGAGATAGATTTCTTCTTAATGTGCAAAAGTTAATCTAAATATACTTTTATCGTTAAAATAAAAACAAAAAGCAAAATTAAACAAGACCAATTTGTTTATTATCAAGCCAATAAATCAAAAAATAAACTAAAATATATAGTTATTATTAAATTCAAATCTAATGATCTAATAGCCTTTGATAGTAGTTGATATTAGCACTGTAGCAATCCTAGAGCTGTTAATACCTCATTACACACACAAACAAACTTAATCTAACAATTATATATTTAATAATTTTTTTGAGTTAATGTTATCACGTGTCTTTATATAATATGCTAAATTTTTCATATATTTCTAAAAAAAAAACACTTCCAATATGTTTTTATATTTTAAGTTGATTTCTAATCAAAATTTCCGACTAATTTTTAAAAACTAATCTTCATATTAGCGAGAGATAGATCACTCGTGCTAAATAACAAAAATAATTTTATTAAATCACATATCATGTGCAAATTACATGTTTAATTTGATAATAAATTTTAACTAAAATAATAGATTAGAAATCAGTTCATACGGTAAAAACAGATTGGAGACGTTTTTTTAAAAAAAACAAACTAAAAAATTGGCCAATTATATAAAAACCATTGAGGATATTAACCTAATTTTTTTTCAATAAATAAGGCTTTGAATCTTATTAATCACTGTTGTTTTAAAACATAATAACATAATAGAGTAATATTATCCATCACTGTGAAGCTTGAGATCCGTTAGGTCTCCCTCTATGACAAGTATAGTAGTATAGTTTATAGGGGAGTGGTGCCACCTTAGACACCACACATGATACGGTCTGCTAAAAGTTGACTGAGGAAAAACTAGCACTGCCCTTAATAAAATTTGTAAAGATGCTCAACATTAATTAATTTAATTAGTTGAGGAATATAATAAATAATTTTTAAAAGCACTTGCTTTTTATCAAAGGTAGCCTTCCTATGGTCCTTCTTAGGACAAAAAACAATAATTTTTGTACGCTTAACAAAGGACAATAATCAAATGATTATAACATATAATAAGGTTGATATCTACATGTATTTTTTATTTTATTTTTTTATTCTTTGCGTTCTTGGGCTCATGGTTCATAATTGTCAAGTTGTCATGGTTGAAGCCAACAAAACTAACCCTGTCATGAGTCATGATCAACTTGGAGGTTGGAGCTAGCTAGCCAACCATTTCACCTGTTCATTAGGTCATGTTCTAGCTTTTTCCCACTTCCCTTTATTTTTGTTTTCTTTTCCTTATTGTGGGCAAATTAGGGTAAAGAAAAAAAAAGAAAAAAGAAAAAAGTAACCTATAATGACAAGCTGACAACCTCTGGCCTTACTTGTAAGTTGTAAATCAGTTAATTTCTCCTGTTTCGGCCAAAGAAATTTGATAATAAAAATTAAAAATTAGAGGTAAAATTCAGTTCATTGAAACCTCTAGAAATTTTTTTGGCCAATTAGTCATATGATTGAGAAATTTTATTTTTGTCAAAGAATAACTATTAATATTTACTTTATAAAAAGAAATAAATACAAAAAGAAAGAAAAAAATGAGTTTATATAAAAATATTCTTATTATTTTTTATAAATTCAGTTATAATTTTATCTCTTCTTTTTATATATATGTCTCTCTTTTTAAAATAAATCCATATAATAAATATCCATAATCAATAACCGACTATTTTAAAATTTCTTCATATAATACAACCTTGTATATTTTTTATCATTCAAAGAGATTTCACAATTTTTTTTCTATAAAAACACACTAATGATTAGCACTCAAAGGGTAAGGTGATATTAATTCATGTCCTCCTATAATCAAAAGGGAAAAGGAAAGTCTTTTGATAAAAAAACTAGGGTTTTTTTTCTTTCTTTGGTGGGCAACTCCTATTGTATGGGCACCAAAGAACTTTATCGTATTGTTTAGTATTATGTTCTTCATAAGCACTCATTCAAAGTATGCATGGTATTGTTTATTGCATTATGAAGTGAATAATTGCAATTTCTTTCACGCATGAAAGTTGCCCCCATGCTATCCATCTCCTTGTGTTAGTTGCAAGAATTTTTTTTCATATAAACCTACTTTCTTGTATCAAAACAATTTTAATTAACCGATACGTCAAATAGGATGATAAGTTCAATCCGATGCCCGATTCATGTAATAATTTTTTTTATTTTTGTGTTTCGTTAGTTGCAAGCGAGGGTAAGCACTAACTAAACCGAATCAAATTAACAATTTCAATTCGGTTTTATTAAAAAATTTTGAAAAAAAAAACAAAATCGAAATTTATTTTCGTTCGGTTTGATTTTTTTTTTAATTCGGTTTTCACGGAAAACCAAAATAGTTTTTTTAAACATACCCATCCAAGGCTCATAGCATTTTTATTTTATTTTATTTGCTAAAACTTCAATTCAAGTTATTAGCATTCATTGAAATAAATAAAAAAATACAAAAAAATAACCTTTCCACTTGGTTCAAGAAAAAATTCAAAATTCAGAAGAAAAGATGAAAAAAAAACTAGGTTTTAACCGAAAATCGAACCTAAAATTTTGGTTTTTTAACCAAAAAATCAAATCTCAATTTAGTTCAGTTTTTGTTTTAATCAATTCGGTTAACAAAAAATCGAAAAAGAATCAAAACTAAATCGAAAAACTGAATAATCACTCCTAGTTGCAAGAAATTTTTTTTTTATAAACCATGTTTTTTGTATCAGAACAATTTTAATTAATCGGCATGCCAAATGGTGTGATAAGTTCGGTCCGATGAACGAGATTTATGCCATAATTTCTCTAATTTATGTGTGTTAGTGCTAAAAGTATGTATGGTCCAACGGTTGTTAGAAAGGGACTTGATTACATTATTTTTGTTGAACTTTAAACCTTTGATCAGCATCATAGAAAGTTGTCATGAATGGTACTCATCTTAATTTGTGCTAGTTTTAATTTAATCTATTACTACCTAAACAAAGTCACTAACTCCAAGTCCTCGATTACATTGAGACTATATTCTCTGAAACGCAACAACAAGAACACTGCCAGAAATGAGTTTGCTTTTCTCTGTCCACTGTCCAGGGTTGTCTACTGGGACATACGATCTTCACTTTAACCTACAAAAGCTTGCACATTGTGCTCATGACTGGCCGATCATTTCTTGTTGGTTTTACCAGGAGACACCAGGACAAACGACGAGGCTGCTTCGTGGACAGTAGATATCACCTTGTTCTGCTTTGCCTTTCTGCTTTTATTGCCATTGCCCAAAGAAACAAGCAAGCTGGGTACTGTGTGCTTTATAGCAGAGGCAAGAAAATCCTCTGCCTTGTATTTTTGTCTGAAGAATGGCATGCTAAGATTTCATGACATGACACTGTCTCTACCGATTTTTACTTTTGCTATGCTCGAAATCCACTAGTCCTATATATTACAAGAACATTTGCATGCCAACATATCTCACCAAATCGGCATGACAAGGAAAAGTTGGCTTTCAATGGCTGGGATTCCACTATGATTATCAGCCTGCAATTCCTCATTACCACTGCTTTTCCTGTTTTTGTTCAATGAATTATGAGAACCCACAACGACCTTAACGATTATTTCATTTAATTGGTTTGTGAATTACACCTATAATATTCAAATTTAATACTAAATCATTAACATTTTCCTCTTCCTTCCGGCCAAATAGAGTGCGTTCCATCGATACATGATTCGTAGATGTATTAAATGAACAAACTCATATGCTAATGTGGATCAAATGATTAGCACAATTCTTTAAACCAGTAATCAATAAAAACTAAACGTGTTTTAACATTGATTTCATTAAAAAAATAATGAATTTAGTCTTAATTAATGTAAAAACTATGTAACGATAATATCCTAATGTATATTTGGGAGCCTGAGTTGATCAATATAATGATCTGCCAGATATACTAATGAAGTGGCCTGGTTGTGTTCGGAAAGTTTGTACCAACCAACCCCATCACCTTTGCCTCAATAAGTGCAACATGAAATTATTAACGTTTTTGAAGTACTTGATAGACTCGGAAATTGCTGGCTTTATCCACTGAATATTTTCATTTCTACATCTTACCGGCTGCAATGATTGTGACCTTTTTCAATTGCTGCATAAATCAAACTCAAGAAATCAAACCATCATTTACCTCTGTTTCTCGGCTACCAAAATCTCGTTACCTTGCTTTTCTGAGATTTGGCCCATGTCTTCCATCTCCTAACTATTGAATCCTTAAATTTTTTTTTATTATTGAAATTAAATCCTTCATTTCTGTTGACATAGAAAACATGTTCAAAGACTGATTTTTACATCCTTAATAATTATTTTGTGCAAAGTAATTACTCTTGCAATAACCTTTTTTTTTTTCATAAAGAAAGTTTTCGTGCATTAAGACTTAAGTCAGTTTCTAAGAGCTGATCTAAAAAGACTATCTATGAAGAAATAAGAGGATTCATAAGAATTTTATTTGTCACAACCTGACATAAAATTTGAATTTTGTCAGCATTGTGAATACCACATAAAAAGCTTGATTATAAGCGATATTAAAAGACTAAGTCCATTTTTTTCGATTTGATCAAAACATTGTTAGGAAGCGAATCAAACAAAAAGATAGAAACATGAAATCAAAATCATCACAAATATAAAGATTTATGTGGTTCATTAAGTGTGCTTACTTCATACTATACTAAGAGTTCTTATTAAAATCTTCGATCGGCAACTTATAAATGCAAAAGATATTATCCTTATTTATAATATAAACAATCGGCGTTATAAAAAACCTAACGGATCTATATATCTAATCCAATATATTGTGGTCCTTTTAAAAGCTCCATCTTCAAACCCCCACGAGGACGTTATCTTCTTGATCCATGTTCGCTAACCAATTAGTGAGATCGTTATGTTGGTTCTACGTAGCATATTAAATTACGAGTTATATGTACATCATTCTCGACAACATAACAAACAGACTATTCATAACAAACAAGTCAATTACAAGTTATATATCCAATCCAATCTACTATGGACCTTTCGAAAGCTCTATTCTCAAACCCCCATAAAAAAATTGTCCTCATGATCCATGCTCGCTAATTGATTAGTAAAATTATCATGTTAATTCTGCATAGCATACTAAATTACGAATTATATTCACATTAGTCTCAGCAACATAATAAACAACTATTCATAAAGAAACAAAGAAATTCGTAAAAAGCTTGATTGTAAGTGAATATTGTATGACTTGGATAATTGGATAAGTGAGGCGAACCTGTTGGGCTCAACATGATGTTAGGAGAAGGACCACTTGAATTCAAACTTAATAATTGGCCTGCCAACTTGAAGTTACATAAGATGAACACATACATAAATCCAGTGCCATTAATCTTTGACATTTCATCCGTACTCACCTGTCTGTAATTCGGCTGGTGCTCACCAACTTAAGCTTTGCCTCTCTTCTACTAGAATCCAAGGAGGAATACAATTTTAAAGAGCTCCAAATCCACCAACTATATTGAAATATAGTAACCATGATCAACAAAAACTGCTTAATTACCCTGTGTCCTTTTCTCGCTTGCCTAACACACGCTTCCTAGCCCAATAAACTATAAAGATAAGCATTAATGGTCCAAAGGACTGGAAATTTCAACCTCTAGAGATCACCACGTACATCATGGTTTTAGGTTGTTTTTTTCTCACTTGTCCAAATACTATGTATGGACCACTTCTGTTGTTTATATACTAAACTAACTTGCTGTTGCTAGCCCAAAACTAGATGTATAGGCCTTGCGTCATGGAACAAATCATGGGAACCACCGGGTCAAGCCGAACTAGTATGGAATATATATATATATATATATATATACACACATAGTATATATATATCACACACACTAGTGTTTGATTGAACAAAATACATAAAATAATTTTTAAAAAATTATTTTAATTTGATATCTTGTATCATATTATACGATAATTAAAATATAATAAATTAAAACTGAATAAAAATTCATTTAATTTTTTAATTTTTTAATCAAAATTTTATTTTTGACTAATTATTTTTTATATTTTCATAATTTTTTTATTAAAAAATATTATTTATTTATCTTCATCTATATTTTTGGTTGAAAACTTATTTTGTAAATTATTTTTATTTAAATATCTTTTTGCCATAAAATTTTTAATTAAAAAATAAGAGGAAACAAAAAAGATTAAAGTAACTAAAATGAAACAAAAAAAAGGACTAAAATAAAACAAAAAAATTTGTGGAAAGAATAACAATGTTTAATAAAAGAGGTATTACAGTATAATGTTACGAAAAAATTCATAATAAATATTTTAAAAAAATTTAAACACTATAAAAAAACCACTCTATAATAAAAAGAATAATGCATAGTAAATAGTGCAATAGTGTTTGTAGCAACGCGAATAAATAATAAACTAATATTTTGGTTTATTTTTATTTTTTTGTTAACATTTACAAATATGAGAGTATTTTTTATTTAATTTTTACATTAATATAGATTAAATTTATTATTTTTTAAATTAAATTAATAATAGAATACGTTTAATTTTTTTATCAATCATTTGACTATCTTTTAAGTCAACTCATTCCAAACTTAACATTGTGAAAAAACAACTACGATTAGTTATCCCTAATATGATGAGAATTAAACATTAACTTTGGCCAACTAAAACAACCTCGTTTATGCCGGAACAAGATTTCAAAGGAAGAAGGGATGGATATGAAAGCCTGTGCGCTGCAAAATATTGGCCAATGACAGTATTTGTTCAGGACAACAGGTTCAGCCTTCGGGATTCCATCGTGGGTGCAGAACTCTGACAGCCAATATATATGTAATGTGAATCTGTCCAAAACTAGTACATTGGTACAGCATGTGTGTGGGCTTTTGCTAAATGCTCGAAGCTTGTAATTATGTCTTCATCTTCGTTTAGGATTGGTAGGTTTATTTTGGACTTCAAGAGTGTTCTTAATTAACCCTTACAGTATCATGTATGGCTTCTCAAGTTATCATGCCTTTATCTTCATGTGGATAATGGCATTTTTTATCCATTAGCTTCTTCATTGAAAATTTTCAATTCCAATATTTAACACTTTGAGTATATAATCTCTTGGATAAATATATCTATTTGTCTTTGTATAATATTTTAAAAAATTTATATATTTCTAGATTTTTAATTGTATTTTATCTATTTTTTAAAAAAATTAAAACATTCAATTTGTCATTTTCGATTAATTTTTCAAACCATATAAAATTTTGAATCGAAATATCTTTTACTAAAATATGTATAAAAAAAATCAATTAAACTCACATGACTACATTTTTATTTTCAAAGTGTTTAGATTTTTTTTTCTTTGTATTTTGGTTAAAAAAATTTATGTAATCAGAAAAAAAGATCAACTAATAGATTAAATAGTTCTAATATTTTTAAAGACAGATGAGATGCAACCAAAATTATAAGAACATAAAAGAGACTTTGAGTATTGTATAAGAATAAATAGATATATTTATTTTAATTTATTTGAAAACGTTCTAAGAAGATAATTTGTTTGTTTTAAAAATCTATTTTGAAAAAAATAAAATTAATCTCTTTTTATTTATTTATTTATTTTGTATATATCAATGAATGTATTCCGGATCAAGTGGACCTACAATTGTACTAATATATTCACACAAAAAAATAGTAATTTTTTTGTAATCTCTTATAAAAATAATTCAAACATTATTAGTTTATAAGAAACAAAACCCACTTCCAAACCAAACTAAATCTCGAAGGATTACAACTATGAATCTTGTTGTTAGATTTCTTTGCATGAGTTCATAAAGATAATTATTCTTTAATCGAGAAAGAAAAAAGCAATATTATTGAGTGCAAGTTCCACACAACAAGATGGTTTTTAATGTCAAAAGGTTTGAAATGACATTTAACAAGTTGGATATTTAGAAGGAAAAACATTTAGAAAAACATTAACACGTAATTAAAACTTTAAAGAATAAAAAACATTATGATACATTAACACGTAATTAAAACTTTAAGAACGATATGGATACAATCAAAACTTAGGGAAAAGAAATACAAATAGAAACTGAATTCATTCTAAACCTCGAGCCGATGAAACTATAATATCAGAAGACCGAACATTATGATACATTTTCAAAATGGAAAAAGGGTTTGTGCTATAAATTGGAACGACCACGAGGACACGTTGATGGTAGGACGCTAACAATAATGATACACTGCCGCATGTCTAAAATGTGGTGAATATTTAGGGAAAAAAATATAAATATTTTTGAATTTTAAATTATTTGAAATTGAAATATTTAAATAATTCTTTTATTAGTTTTGTGGATTTATAAACTTTTAATTCTTATAATTTTAGTTCATTTAATGATTTCGGCTATCAATTCTCCTTTTTAAAAATTCATTTTTTGACATTTTAAGCTAAAATGTTGCACATGCATTCAAAAAAATTCAATTCATTTTATAGAAAATTTTCAAAAAATTTCAAATTGAAAAATATATACTTTTACTTATTAATATTAAAAATAAAAAATAAAAAATAATTTCTAAATAATCCTAAATTTTTTGAGAGCTCCTTACATAAATCTCATTGAAAGATGTTTAACATAAAACTATTTATATAATTGTTATTTTTTTAGATAGATAATAAAAAATTAAAAAATAGGTTAAATTTAAAATAAAAATAAAAATTTAAGGATTTTCAAAATTAATAAAAAACTCAAAAATTCAACTTCAAATGATTTAAAGTTCACGAGTGATTATATTTTTTAAGATGAATATTTATAACATTAAATATTATTTGGGGTGAGTAGAGTGGTTCGTCAGGGATGATTTTTTTGTTGGTGCTATTTTTTTAAATATACGATTATAATTATATTTTCAAATAAATTTATACATTAATCAAAGTTAAATTTCTATTTAAACGACTCTAAACACGTAAGCCAAGGACGCAAGGATGAGTGACAAAAGATGTCAGCATCAAAAGTACCAAGGATGGCGTGAAGTCCAATCGGAGCCAATCAAGTCGTACGTTAAATGAAACAACTACTAGACTGTAATAATTTGCGCGGCGCGTGGTCACAGCTTTGCTCCAAAAGTGCACAAACGACGGCGTCTGTTTACAACTTTTTTGCAATGATGCTCGCCGCTAATTATCCCTGTCACTA